GAAGGTAACGTTATTAAAACTACATCTATATTACTAAAACTACATCTACAGATTACGTATCTGTGTAGAAGGTAACGTTACTAAAACTACATCTATGTTACTAAACCTACATCTACAGATTACGTATCTGTGTAGAAGGTAACGTTACTAAAACTACATCTACAGATTACGTATCTGTGTAGAAGGTAAAGTTACTAAAACTACATCTACATTACTAAAACTACATCTACAGATTACGTATCTGTGTAGAAGGTAACGTTACTAAAACTACATCTACAGATTACGTATCTGTGTAGAAGGTAACGTTACTAAAACTACATCTACATATTACGTATCTGTGTAGAAGGTAACGTTACTAAAACTACATCTACAGATTACGTATCTGTGTAGAAGGTAACGTTACTAAAACTACATCTACAGATTACGTATCTGTGTAGAAGGTAACGTTACTAAAACTACATCTACATTACTAAAACTACATCTACATTACTAAAACTACATCTACATTACTAAAACTACATCTACGTTACTAAAACTACATCTACATTATTAAAACTACATCTACGTTACTAAAACTACATCTTAAGAGCTCTCTAGCATTCTCTTTTAAAACTGTTCGTTCTAATAGAGATACCATAAGAGTAGCCACTGCGGTTTACCTGCTAAGTGTATGAATTAAAAAAATACTGTTTACATATAACACATGTTACCTGGAACCTTTTGATCCTGGTGCAACGTAACCAGTTTCAAATCTTGATGTCCATAGCTTTTATTTCTGATCGCTGTAATAGCAACAACAAAATACAAGTACAGTCATTGGTGTGTTTAATTCAAAACTATAAAACTTGTGCAGATATACATGGATATTTGCATGATCTAGATAACCGAGTTTATTAAGTAAATAATGTCATAAAAGATTTATGTTTTAAATGTTACACCTATTAATTTCAGAGATCTGGTTATTTCTACTATTAGACGATTTATTTATGTGAAAGAAACAAACGTGTTAAATGACGTACTAACTTACATCACAAGGATTTTTGACATTGTAGGAAAGTTTACTTAGTCAGCTAATGATGACAAAACCTTGTCGAAACGTTGTACATTTGCTGTTATGTTAAACTTATATTAAAGTTTTTCTTCATTACCCATTCAAGCCGTCTCCAGCCGTTATTAGTCAGCTGTCGTTAGGCCTTAACACTCAATAAGTTGACAGGACACTCGTTTTAAGCCTAAAGCGAGCATCACGTGAAACTGAGATATTGGAAACGCGTCAGTTAATCACGTGACAGAGTTTTTTGTAAATACTTCGTTTGTTGCTAAGATCGAAGCTAAGCATTATAAACCCTAGAGCTTACCGTTGAGCCACTTGGGGCGGATGGTGGCCGGTGTGAAGAAACCTCACAACCAGATTTCACCGAAAAGCTTTTTAAAGTTTTTTTGTCTTAAAAAATATGTATATGAAGTTAATGGATTCTTAAGTTAAGCCATGAATATCTCCATGATTGTACCTTAGCAACCTGTAATACGTTAGTATCATGCAGCTATTATCTTACATATCTCCATGGTAGTACCTTAGCAACCTCTAATATGTTAGTATCATGCAGCTATTATCTTAGATATCTCCATGATAGTACCTTAGCAGCCTCTAATACGTTAGTATCATGCAGCTATTATCTTAGATATCTCTATAATGTAGTACCTTAGCAACCTCGAATACGTTAGTATCATGCAGCTATTATCTTAGATATCTCTATAATGTAGTACCTTAGCAACCTGTAATACGTTAGTATCATGCAGCTATTATCTTAGATATCTCTAAAATGTAGTACCTTAGCAACCTGTAATACGTTAGTATCATGCAGCTATTATCTTAGATATCTCTAA